AAAACTAAACAAACGAAAAATCTTTACACAAATAAATCAATTAACCCAATTAATAAATGGGCAAATGAATTAAACAGATACTTCTCAAAGAAGAAATACAAATGGTCAACAAATATACGAAAAAATGTTCAATATCATTAGCAATTCAGGAAATGCAAATCAAAACTACACTGAGATTTTCTCTCACACCAGTCAGAATGGCAAGAATACAAATAAAAAATGCTGGAGAGAATGTGGAGAAAAAAAACAAAACATTTTTACACTTTTGGTGGGACTATAAATTAGTAGAATCACTATGGAAATCAGTATGGAGGTTCCTCAAAAGACTAGGGCATGGAACCACCATATTACCCAGCTATACCACTCCTCAATATTTTTTCTGAAGAATTAAAGTCATCATACAACATAGACACATGCATGCCCATGTTTATAGTGCATAATTCACAATAGCCAAATTCTGGAACCAGCCTAGGTGTCTATCAATAGATGAATGGATAAAGAAAATGTGTTTTATATATATGCACAATGAAGTTTTATTCAGCCATAAAGAAAAATGAAATTTGTCATTTGCAGGAAAGTGGATGGAACTAGAGACCATTATGTTAAGTGAATTAAATCAAACTCAGAAGGTTCAGGGTCATAGGTTTTGTCTCCTATGTGGAAGCTAGAGAGAAAAGAGGTGGAGACAAGATTACATGAAAATCAAAGGGAGATCAGCAGAGGAAAGGGACCAACAGTGAGAGCAGTGAGAGGCAGGGGTGGGGGGTGGGGGTGCTGGGGAGTGATTGACCAAATTATATTGTTAGATTGTGTATTGTGTGTATATGAATATATATAGCAATAAATCCCATCAGTAGGTATAACTATAACACATCAATAAAAAATGGGGGGATAAAATAAAAATAAATAAATTGGAAAAAAAGGGATATATACCTAAAAATTAATTCAAAGGGGATCACTGGGCTAAACAGAAGAGCTAATATAGGAGTAAATCTTCATGATCTTGGATTAGTCCATGATTTATAAGATAGGGCATCAAAAGTACAAGTGATAAAAGAAATGGTAGACAAGTTAGATTTTATGACAATTTAAAATGCAACTACTTGCCAGGCTTGGTAGCGCATGCCTGTAATCCCAGGGACTCAGGAGGCTGAGGCAGGAGCATTGAGAGTTCAAAGCCAGCCTCAGCAGTGGCAAGGCGCTAAGCAACTCAGTGAGACCCTGTCTCTAAATAAAATACAAAATAGGGCTGGGGATGGGGCTCAGTGGTTGAGTGTCCCTGAGTTCAATCCCTGGTACTCAAAAAATAAAAAAAGAAACTACTTGGGAGCTGGAGGCAGGAGGATCGCTTGAGCTCAGGAGTTCAGGGCCAACACAGGGAGACCCTGTTTCAAAACAATAGAAGGTGCTGTGTTGTGGACCCAATTTATAAACAACGAGGGGGCAGGTCCCTTGAGACAGACTGAGAACTGCACATTCCACATGGGGCTACAGAGAAGGCAGGCTCGGAGCTGGGGTAGAAAATAACTCGCATTTAGCAGAGTGCTTTCTAGCTTCAGCTCACTCACCATATCACCAACTCCACGAAGTAGATATTATTTATTTATTTATTTAGTAGCAAGGATTGAACCCAGGGGAGCTTAACCACTGAGCCACACCCCTAGCCCATACACACACACAGATATATATATTCATATATGAATATATATAAATTTTTTTTAAAGAGAGAGTGAGAGAGGAGAGAGAGGAGAGAGAGAGAGAGAG